CTTAAAAATGATTGAGTGACTAAATGTGGATTAAAGCATAAAAGGCAGGAAAACATTGTTTTCATAAAGCTATACATGGAAGTGTCAACTTTAAAATAGTAATACAGCTGCTGAACATGGTTTATTCTTAGGCACTTACTTGATATTCCATGTTTTATTTTTCAGTTCTCATTTTAAATTTTATAATTCAATCATTTTGAACAGCTATGTTCAAAAGAAGTTTTACAACTTTAATCTTAATAATCTCAAAAAAAAAGCAGACATGCTATGTCATGAAATAACTATTAGTGACTAGTTTGTCTCCTATAAATCTAACTTGAGTTGATAATATGGTCCATTACCAGCTAACTGCACAGAGTATTTTTCATTTTACACTCTTCAGTTACTTTTTAGTGAAGTGTTAAAAAATATGAAGCTTTTCTCCTCTCTAAAATTGCACGCTGTCTGTCTGTTATTAGGGAGATAACAGCTCTTATAAATGTTTCAGTAAGCGCTAAGTAGACAGTTATGTGCACTCTCATTCCACGCTTATTTGCTTACTGTAATAAACTGATAAAATATGTGTGGTTTGTCTCTGTGTATATACAGGCATCATGAGTCACATAGATTTCCTTTAGAAATAATGTTGTGTCTGCAGAATTGATTGGTTATTTTCATAAACCATCTAAAGGTACACAAACGACTTTTATTGTTTAAACATATGCTGTGTAAAGATTTGTAGAGGATTATCTCATTGTTACTTGATGCTTTTTGTTCTGTTAACTCTTGGGGGAGGCTTTTTTATTTTAGAGTTATTGGAGTTACCAAATGAATTACATCCTCAAGAATCATAGTGGAGGTGACCCATATCATTTGCTTATAATGCAGTTAGGTTTTTAATTCTTTGAACATTAGTAGTTAAACAATTAAATCAAAACTAATGGTTTTAAACACTCTCTTTCATGCTATCCTGTTTATACAAGCTTTAAATTTAATGGGACTAATGTTTATACCTAAAACCAGATATTTTGAGAATTAGTGCTTATAGTATAAAAGTCCTTCTACTTACTCATTTGTTCTTTGTGTATAAGTGCCTTTAAGATATATGGTATTTTTTTTGTTTACAATTATGTGTAATAGAAAATTTCAAGTTAAGTCATATCCTAAAGCCAACACATATTAATACCAGCAATCTCCACTTACTCCAAAGTGTGCTCCTGGGGGGTTGTAGTATTTTTAGGAACAGTGTTCTGATTGAGGGCTCAGCGTCAAATAAATTATAGTTAGGACCAACGCCACAGGTATATTGTCTACAAACATTTAAAATAGTAAATTCAGCTCTGAGTTCTGAAAAATGGGTAAAATTATATTTTACACATTGAGCATAAATGTTGAGAGTAGATAGGGAGACAGACCATAAACATAACAAATAAGTAAATTATATATATTGTGTTACAGAAGGTATTAAATGCTATGAAAATAGAAAAAAGGAAGTTAGAAGTGGGAGATGCAAATGAATTAAGCCTCATTTAGAAGATAACATTTGAACAATGAGGTATAGGAGGTGAGCCATATGGATATCTGGAGAAAATGCATTCTAGGCAGAGGAATAACCAATGCCAAGGGCATTACTGGTGTACTTAAGAAACAGCAAGGAAGTCTGAGTGATGAGTGGAGTGAGCAATGGGTTCAAGAATAACAGGAAATGAGGTCAGGGAAATGTAGCAAGGGGCCAGGCCATGTGGGGCCTTATAAGCCTTTTTAAGACTTGTTGGCTTTTACTCTCAGTGAAATTAGGAGCCATTAGAGGGTTTTGAAGGCACTGTGGTGGTGCAGTGGTTAAAGCAATTGGCTGCTAACTGAAGGTCAGCAGTTTAAAACCAACAGCGGCTCTGCTGGGGAAAGATGTGGCAGTCTGCTTCCATAGAGATTTACAACCTTGGGAACCCTATGGGCTTGCTATGAGTTGAAATCAACTCAACAGCAGTGAGTTTTTTGTTTGTTTGTTTTAGAGAGTTTTGAGCAAGGGGGTGACATGATGTTACTGTATTATAACTGGGTCATTCTGGCTGCTGTGTTCAGAATAGAGAAAACATAGCAGTTTAGTCTATGTTCAGCAGGGTGCAGAGGTAGAAGCAAGGAGACCAAAGAGGCTGTTGGAATAGTCCAGGTGAGAAATGATGGTGCCTGAGGCTAGGATGGTAAAAGTGAACGTGGTGCAAAGTGGCCAGATTTTATTCAGTTTATTCAAATTATTATGGATTCCTCTCCCTCTGTGTATTCTCTTAGCCCCCTAAGCCTACCTTGGTCATGGCATTTATCACACTAATTGGTTTACTTAATTCTCCGCCGCTAAACAATCATCTCCTTGCAGGCCTGGGATACTTTGTCTCCTATCATAGTCCTTAGTATAGTGGTTGGCACAACTTCATGTCAGTTGGATGAAAAAATAAATTTATGATCAGTAGTTACTTTGTGTTTGAAGGATTGGTGCTCTTATTGCCCAAGGAGCCCTGGAATACCTAATTCTTACATTGAGCTACTTTCTCCCTAAGATGCCCATGGGAAACATAGGGTCAGAGGATAAAGAAAGGCAAAGTGATACTTTATTATTATTGGGAGCTTTGCTCTCTAGCCCCTCTAAAAAACCCCGGTGAATTAGGATGGCCCACATGAATTCCCCCATTTTCCTATAGAAGGTTAGACTAAGTAGCCTTGAACGAAAGCAAACTGTTAGGTTGAACCATATGAAATTGCTGGCTTGACTGTTTTTGACCTACAAATTTGGCAGACACAGATGGTCCAGGCTAATATTTCCACCCTAAAGGCCCAACCCAAGTCTCTGATCTACCGTTCCATATCTACCAGGGCCTTAGGAATAGGAGCAGGAGAGTACATTCTCCCATTACAAGCTTATGTCCCCCCTACAGATACTGCCCTGAAATCTGACTAATCTCAGTCAGTAGTAGGATGGGGGAGGCAGACAATAGAAACCCAGTTTGAACTAATGTAAGTAAAAAAGGGAAATTACAAAAAGGAATGCTAAATTATTTCACAGAAGACTGAGCATCAGGAAAGGTAGAAATATATCTGGACCTCACGATCCATCCAAACCAAAGACACTGACTTGACTATCTATGTTTTCATCTCTGCTTTTCTTTGAAATTTGCTTTATTCTTTTTTCTCACTGAACAGTGTAGCAAGTAATGTGGCCACAGAGAGTAATTGAGTTTTAAATTTTGAATTTTAACCACTTAAGAGAGGCTGGCTTGACTTCCCAGGACCCAAGTCCAAAAATCCTACGGAAGGGACTGATTGGGCCAGGGGTACATTCCTCAGCCAGCTAACTGTGGCCAGGTCACAAGGTGATGTGAGAACATACTAGCTCCCTCAAGAACTGAATGTGGGAATGTTCCTGGAAAGATGGTGGGGTGTGTTGGGCAGATAATCCCACATATAACCACCTCAGGGGAAAGCACTGGAGGGAAAGCACCCTCAAAAGATCAGCACTTAGTCTTGAACCAAATAAAAGCACTGCAAAACACTAAATTCATCATATTCTTCATTGTCATAGGACTTAATTGATATTTTGTTGTCAGCTATCAGAACACTTCATGACACTTAAGAAATCCATAGAAACAATCAGGTCATAACATGGACTTTTGTAAAGGAAAATCCAAAGAAAAAAGTAGTCTCTACTATATAAAGCAATATTCTTAAAAGCAAAGCCGGTAGCCCATAAGGTACCATTGTGCAGATTCCAAAAAGGCATCCTTGAATATCAGCTAGATTTCCAGCCCCTGTTCACCCCTTCAGTTGTTTGCCACTGCCCAACATTATGTTGTGATTCTACTAAGTGTTAATTTAGCTGTTTGAAACAAATGGAGCTGGGAATTGTTGAATGACCAAAAAATGGGTATCAAGAACTGTGAAGGGTCTGAGATGTTACCCTACTTGCAAGCTAACAAGTTAGCCTGCCACAGTTTCATGAATACAGGCAGAAGACAAGGGACTCCTGGGTCAGAGACAAAGGATAGTTTATTACTCAATGCAGTAACAGTAGCCAGAGTAACATCATTTGCAGCCAATTCTCCAAGCCCCAACTCCCCCAGGGCAAAACTAGGAAGGCCAGATGATGCCTTCATACCCAGTGTGTTGCTTTACAAGAGAGGAACCTCAATGAAGAAAATCCCGACCTTTTATAGGGGGCTGTTAGCAAACCTGTCAAACCTTTACCTAGAGGGAGGTATTATTATTCTGAACAGCAAACAAATTTGTCTCCTGCTCCAGAGGGAAGCAGTTACCTCTATCTTACAAAGGCTGTTTGCTATACAAACATCATTGAAAAGATGATTAGGAGCAAAGGTTGTTAATGCCTTTGTTCAGAAGACTACGGAAAGCAAGAGACCTGTGGAGACTTGTTCCCCAACAACAGAGAAGGGTAGTGGGAGGGAAGGTTTTTAACCATTGAAACAAAGGAAGAAACTACCTTAAAGTGGAGGTCATGGCCTCCAGTTTAAGGTGAAAGAAATTCAAGGGGAAAAAAGTTCAAGAAGCATGAAAGTACAGGTGCTCATTATTAATAGATGATATGATTTTATAGTTTGAAAATCAACTGACAAACTAGCAGAACTAATAATGTTAGCAAGATGGCCAAATAAAAAGTACCCGGGGTGGGGGGGAGGTGACTAACAAAGTTTATAAACATTTAAAAAATTAAGTATATTTAAATAACAGATTATTCTCTTCTTATTTGGCTTATATTGTCAAAATATTTTAATATATGCCTGTACAGTACAGAAAATTTTTAATACTGTTTTGAAGGCATTTGCTTACATTTTTATAAAATTTCTGAGTAATTATATATTTGTGATATCCTAGTAATGTTTGTTCTTATGGTTTGTATGATACTTTAGGGAAATCGGGAATTAAATGCCATAAATTTTTTGCTTATTTTCTAAGAGAATTAATAAGTATTTTCACTAATTTGTCTTTTTTTTTCTGTTTCCCATGTGCAATAGGTCAGTACTCCTGTCTTTGTACCAATGAAAACTCATGTGATGCTTCATCGAATGAGTGGAAAAGGACTAGCTGCCCATTATTACTTTCCAAGGCAGCCTTGCATTTTTGGTGATAAGATGATCTCAGTACAAATAACACTGAATAATACTGCTGATCGAAAGATAGAAAATATTCACATAGGGGAGAAGAAACTTCCTACAGGCATGCAAATGCATGTTTTTAATCCAATAGGTAAATATTAATTCTCATTTAAAACTTTAATTATATTTGATAACTAAATGTGTTCATCTTAAAAATAAAGTAGAATGCATATTATTTTATTATTTATTAGCATACTGAGTTTATATTTGTTTTCACTTTTCAGCCAAATTTTTCATACACGATAAAAATACATTTCTTTGACATTAGTGAATCAAGTCCCAGCAGTGGTAATACCAGTAGTGATAAAAGGATAGGCCTGAAGAATCAAAATTGTCATTTCATTTTTACCTCTCTCTATCACCTTCTCCCAATTTTCCTTTGATCAGCTTCATTTTCTGCATTTATTTGAGTTTATTACATATTAAAAGCAAGAAAATCAGTCTATCTTTTAGAATACAGTACCTCCCATATCTCCCTACCCTGTGGCCATTCACATACCATAAACTGAAAAGTGGAGACAGAAAAGTCAGAGGATGTATCCAGTTTTTTTCTTCTTTTTCATGTATAGTATACAAAATAGACCACAGTATATTTTCATGTACACCTCATGTTTTAAAATATGTTTTATTTGTTGCCACCATTGAAAAATCAGAATACTTTTACATTAAAAAGAAAATTCATAAGTCTCACTTTTTTTTGGGAAAAAAGCATAAGATATGGCAAATATGGAAACTCTGGTGGCATAGTGGTTAAGTGCTACAGCTGCTAACCGAAAGCTCTGCAGTTCGAATCTACCAGGCTCCTTGGAAACTCTGTGGGGCAGTTCTACTCTGTCCTATAGGGTTGCTATGAGTCGGAATCAACTTGATGGCAGTGAGTTTTTTTTTTAGTACGGCAATACCAGTCTTTTATTCCCACCTCCAGCAACCAACTAGTGCTGAGCAGCAGCTGTCCGTTGGGTGCGTGTTCTTTCCAGGTTACCTCAGTGCCCAGTACCTCGTATTGTCTCCCCACTAACTTTCAGTTACTGTTCATCATCCCCCTTCCATTTTTTTTTTTTTAGCACTCAGTTTGCTTTTCTCATTTACATTATCTTTCTGGTCCCTGAAGGCTGCTGTGTTTGTAACCCCCCTTCTAAACAGTTTTCTCTGAAACTATTTTGCCAAAAATACAACTTTTAATTATTTTGCCAGAAAAGTTTTCTCTAAAATTATTTTGCCAAATATTAAATGTAACAGTTGTGTATCTTACTTGGAGTTGAAATATAGTAATATTTAGAATGTCTGTCTCTATTCTTTCTGTCTTTTGAAAGTCAAGGCAGTTCTAAGGTTTAGTTGGGAGAAGCTGCAGGTAAACCGCAATTAAAAGTGATGTAAGGTTTGTGTTACTGTGTCCTCAAAGTATTACAATCAGAAAGGTCCAGATAGCTCCTGTTAGTAATACTTCAGGGGAGCAACGCCTGTTGACCAAACTGTGCCTTCTTTACTCATTATTTCTCATGACTAGACTATTGTCTTCATCTTCATCTGGTCTCTTTGACTGGGGGATTCTCTCATGTAGTTTTCATGAGGCATTCAGTAAAGAAAGTTATTCTTTGCAATGTATTTTTACATAAAGGAATAAAACAGTTTCTAATGGATAAAATATAGTAGACTTTTGTAAAACACCAAAGTAAAGAAAAACAGAGTTAAAGTAAGATGATTTCAGAATTCACTTCATACCATCTTTATAATTTGGTAATTAAGACACCATTTAAACCAGAAGAACTACATGGTGCCCAGCTACCACTACTGACCATTCTAGTCAGGGCCACAATAGTTGGACCCTAATAGAATGGAAGAAAAATGTGAAACAGAACCTCAAATTTCTTTTAAAAAAAAAAAAAAAAAAGACTGATTGGACTGGTTGATACTAGAGGACTCTTCAAAACTGTTGCCCTGAGGTACCCTTCATACCTGGAACTGAAACTAACCTCTGAGGTCTCCTTGTAGCCAAATAGCAGATCGGCCTACAAAATAATGATTATCACCCATAAGTACTGTGCTCCTTTAAAAAATCACCTACATGAGACCAAATTGGTCAACAAGTACTCTAAAACAAAGCTGAGAATGTAAAGGGGCAGAAAAATTAGATCAATTGGGGGAGGATACCATTTTAAAAAATAAGAGTGTCCTGATTTCTGTTTCATTATTTTGTGAAGTTACTATATTTCTAAGGAATTACATAATATCCTAATTTGTATAATTTTTATTGCTTGTAATCCAGCTTTTTTGCATACTTAAAAAATTAGTTTAAGAAGTGTCAAGTGGCTGATATATGAATTGTCTGAATATTGAAAATGTTATCCAAAGGTTAAAACACTAGAACAGTATTAACACATTCACGAGTTTGCATAATGAGCTGATGAGTTGACCTTTTGTTGGCCTATATAGAATAGCAGAAATAAATACAATAAATTTTAGAGTATGACCTTAACACAAAATATGAATGTATACCATTGCCTCAGTAATGGTAATAGACTTTACTTTTCCATTCTTAGGCAAATTTTAACACTGTAATGTTTCATTCAATATTGAATGCCTTCAGGATACAAAATTCTTTCCCATGTAGTACATATTATATGTTACATCACCTAGTACCTTTTACCAATGATTACAGTAAGGTTACAGAGTATGATATATCTTAATTAGTCCCCCAAAATTGTCTTAAGAATGCGACAAGGAACAAGTACAATATTTTCATGTATTTGTGAAATGAGGGAGGTAAGCTATTTGCTTTATTTAATAAGGTACATACACATGTGTTAAGGAGTCCAACATCTTTATTTGTCACCAATCTGTTTTCTTCTTGTCTATAAAATGCTGTGGCTTTTGTCTGAACTTTGCCCTGCCTTTAACATGAAACTAGATTCCTCTCAAGAGTATTAGGAATAACCTGCCATTTTTCCCAAAGAGACCAAGTACATAATAGATAATAGAAAAAGCACGAAGAATAGCATTAAACTCTTTACAAGATATTCAATGACAGTTACATTAACAGTTGACAAATTTGAGCTCAGTTAAGATTTCACTAGTTATTGTACAACTGTCACATCAAAGTATATGGCATCCTGCATGATTTCATTTTTCATTACTAATAAAAACCCATTGCCCTTGAGTGGATTCCGACTCGTAGCGATTAGAACCAGTGTTTATTAGCCATTTCTACACAACCATTTCAGGAATATAGCAGAGAATTTAGAAGCTGTATCCAAATATATATACTTAAACTTTGGTAAACTGTCCCAATTTAGTAGGCTCCAAGTGTAATAAAAATCCATTATATCAGTAATTTTATGCTGATCACTTTGTTCTTGAAGCTCCCATATAATAAAACATGCCATTGATCGTGGATTTTCTCCAGAATTAGCGTGGCACTAAGCTAACAGTTAATTATCTTAAGACTGAAGACAGTTCCAAACTGTGTCAGAGTGCTATCAACAAGATATCTTGAGAGCTGTCACTTTGTCAACTGATGAACAAGGAGACATGATGTAGAGACATCAAAATCATGAATGCCATCATGTTTTGGAGATGACAGCATTTGCTACTAATGTGGTGTCAGCCTACAAGCAAGACCAAAGCCCAATATATCTGTGACACAGAAGAAGGCATTAAGGATTCACTAAAGAATAGCCTTGAGCAAAGTGACTGACAGAATTGTGAACTGACAGCAGCATGTAGTTTTAAGAGAAATGCAAGAAAAATATTGTAGTTATCTAGTAAAGCCTGCTCAAGAAAGATTTAGGCAGAAGTCTTCTGGTATTTGAGTAGCATCCTGGTAAATGTTATGTTTATAAACAATGAAGTTCAAACTAGAATCAGCAAACTAACATACCATTGAGCAACCCAATAATATTTTAAAATCAGCATAAAACAAGTGTCCATTTATGATGCCTAATCTTCATTGAGCCTATGAAACATGAACATACTTGCTAATACTAAGCTTATTGAGTTATTCTTTTGTGCCATCATCTCTGTCATGGTTAGCATTAAATGACAAATCATACTTACCAAAAAGCCCTAGGATGGTGACAGTCTGTCATATTAGAAGTGTGCTTACTAAAATATAACTACATCTGACAAGATGTATATAGCATAGATAAAGCTAAACAGAAAGGTACTGTATAGTATGACTGCAGTTAAACTGAAGACTTTGTGTGAAGTAGAAGTCAAAAGTGGATGGTTTCTATTTAAATGTATATAACATACCATACTAGTTGCCATCGAGTTGATTCCAACTCATGGAGATCCTATGTGCGTCAAAGTAGAACTGTGCTCCATAGGGTTTTTCAGTAGCTGATTTTTTGGGAAATAGATCACCAGACCTTCTGAGGCACCTCTGGGTGGGCTTGAACTTCTAACGTTTTGGTTAGGTGAGTGCATTAACCGTTTCTATCACTGAGGAATTCCATATACATATATACATGTATACATATGTGTGTGTATGTGTGTATATATGTAAATATATTTAAGACCCTCAGATTAGTCTAATGTATAGCCAGAAATTGGAACCATAAACAGAATGAAATTATTTTTGCAGTTTGTTTTAACTTAAGTTTTATCATTGTTGGCTGAAAAATGCCAGTCTTTGTAAATTGATATAATTATTTCCCATACTTGGTTAGTTGATAGATGAAGCTTCAGAAATTCCAAATCATTTTATTATTTTTTTTAAGACAATCTAATCTGCAACTAAATTTTCTTTTAGTAATTCTTTGAATTATGCAATTAGACTTACCATTTTCATTTCCATAATGCTAGTTCTTTTGGTTAATTTCTGAGCACAGCAATTTAATTTCTTCTCCCATCTTTGCTTTAATTTGCATTTTAAAATTCTGGAGTTTTTTCCCAGTGAAAATTTGGAAGCTTCAAGAGCAAAGTGATCAGTTTAAAATTATTGATATAATGGATTTTTATAATATTTGGAGCCTACTAAATTAGGATAGTTTACCAAATTAGGTATATGAATTTGGATACAGCTTCTGGATTCTCTGCTGTATATTTGAGATGGTTATGTAGAAATTGTCTAAAATTTACTTTTTATATCTAGAGTAAATATTCCATAGTTTTAACTTTGTAATCTCTTACAAGCTTCCAGAGTTCATTATAGTTGTTCCAAACAGGCAGTTTATTTCCTTTTCGCCTTCAGTGCCTATAAATACAATATTTTAAAACATGAAATTTCCCAGGAAGAGAGGTGCTTCTGAAGCAAATAGATATAATATGTTCATTGGCTTATGTGCAGAATTAAGTTGTGAAAAAGAAAGCCTTGACACTTAGATTTCCCAGGAAAGGGATCACTCATAACACTGGGGGTGGTAGCAGGAGGTTGGAGGGGGAGATCAGGTAAAGAGATTAACCTAGCTCCAGAAGCAGTATTGGATAATTTTACCTTCTGGGGGGAGAGGGATTAGGTGGGCTTCTTCAACTAGCTCCTCAAAACCTTCTCCTAACTCATACAGTTAGCATTATTTTTAAATCCAAGGCTGGGAGAGAATCCAAAAAGCAATATTTTTTATCACATGCCAAAAACTGAGGATAGAGAGAAGGAATAGTATGCCTAGGCCCCTCTGATTGTCTCTTGGGGGTTACCCATCAGCTCACCTCAGTGTGGTGCTGGGTAGAGGGGATACCTGGGTTCTAACCTCTAAATAGGGGAGATCTCAGCCTCTACACAGAGGTCCTTTTATTTTTTATGCTGATTAGCCATTTTAAACCAACAAGGAATAAAACAAAATCCTGATCTAACCAAAAAAAAAGAAAGAAAGCTTTAAAACAGAGTAGTGATGTCACTTTATAATTCGCTTTAATATTCCTAGTTGAAAATGTTGCTTATAAGCCATCATTAAATTTGACTGTTTTAACCAAACTACAAACATTGCATAGATTTTCAGTGTTTAGTTTGCCTCTTTTTTATATCGTTTGTGTTTTCATGTCTAAATTATCTTATTTCCTAGAATCTCTTGAGCCTGAGGGATCTATTACTGTTTCAGTGGGTATAGACTTTTGTGATTCTACTCAGACTGCTAGTTTCCAGTTGTGGTAAGTTCAGTTGGTCTTCTATATTTTATATTACCTGTAGTAGATAGCAGAGCAAAATCTAGGCTTTCGTCAACTTTTTTTTTTTTTAGAGACAAAACATTTAAACAAATGTGTTTTTCTTTGACAATTTTTATACTGCTATGGAATAGTTATACAAATTATGTACAGTATGTGTATTTTTAGTATTTGTTACACAACTAGCCATTATAGTCTGCCATATGATTGAAATTCATAGTTTGTTCATTAAAGGAAGAAGTTCTTGCCAACTAATTTTTAACTTATCTTACCTCTACAATTTTAGAAAATTAAAAAGAAAATTCAGGAAAAGTTAAAAACTTTAATATTATTGAATAGCCCAGAGAAGGTGTCTTTTGAAACATCTTATCTGTTATCTTGAGCTTCTTAAATGGAGTATTATTGATTGTGTCAGTACCTAAAACCCATACATTTGTTTCTCTTTTTACTTTAATTTAGAAAATGCTTTAGTAGGAATCAAAAGAAAGCAGTCAGTTGACAGAGGTTTCATAGCTGATTACTATTCAAAAGAGCTTCTTTTTTTAAGATTGGGTTTTGTCATTGTTATTGTTTTTCTAGAACATGAGGTTTCTATATGAAAGCCATATTCATGCACAACCCTTTGCTATATTTTTCTTGTATTTCGTATACTTGCATAATGCTTTATATACTTCTGATGAAATCCAGAGGCTGTTAGCAAATTAGTACAAAGGTATATTCATGCGCCTCTGAGAATTATTTTTTAACTCCTTTTTTTTTAAATATTTTTCTGATCTAGGATATGACTGGATATTCTGACTTAAAGTTGCTTTGTTTTTATTCTAAAAAGAATTAAGATATTTTATTTATCTAAAGTATAGCCAGCTTAGAACATAATCTGTTATGATTAAAAATCTCCAAGTTTAGGAAATAGGTACTTTTTAATAAATTTATAGGTTAAATATAGTGAACCTTGCTTTTTCATATACCTGATCACTTTACCAGCAATTCAGGCCCAATATTAAACCATTTTTTGCTGAGAACCTGCAATGATGAATATAAGCAATGTAGCATAACACATTGATTTTATGCAGATCATCACCTTTATGTTTTGGGAGGTCTGCTGTATTAGTGATATATAAAAACTGATTACTTTTCCCAACAGTGCCTAGTAATTGTTTATTATTTTTCTATTAGACAAACAACACAGATCAATATTACTGAACACCAGACTATGAGTAACATCACTCTAAATAGATTTGCCTCCAACACCAGAGGTATATTCATTTTAATGATTTGGACAATGTGAGCTCAATGACAAAGCTCATGCACCAAGTTAGACCAAAATTAAGAAGAAAAAAAAATCCTTTTTCTTACCAATTTATATAAAGAACCTGTTATATTTCTATGTCATGAGATGTTTTTTGACTCTGCATTACAAAGGCTTCCTCTGTAATCCATTGGACAGGATTTGCATTTTCGTCTTTCATAATTAACTAAGTCCCTTTGGGGATAAATATGTAGGCAGTGTTTGATTTTATCTTCTGCTGGGGAGTGCATGTGAACAATTTTTTTCTCAATTTCTCTTAAATTAATTATAAAAAAATAATAAATTTATTTTACATAGATAATAGCCATAGCTGTTATAAGCATTTACATCAATGTTTTTCTTATGTATATCTTCTTTATTTTCTCAGATTTCTATTGTGCAGGTATAAATTAGTTATTTATTTTAGATTTTATTAGATATTTTATTAAGCACGAAAGCATGCTAGATCAAAAAAAATTTTTTTTATGTATTCCAAAAAGAACACTTTGTCTTGCATCAAATGTAATTGATCCTGAAGCAGTGTAATCACAATTACTCACTTTCTTAATTGGCCTGCCCAAAATCAGAAAATGGAAACCGATCGACAGTTTAAATCAATAGCTTCATAGTAGTGCTAGTTGGGGTAGGGAGATAGTGGTAATGGGTAGATCAATTGGTCTCAGATGCCAATCACTGACTATGCGTTTTGCATAGTAAATAGCACTTTTTGCTTAGTGATGTGCTGTATTAGTCTTGGTAGTTCAATAAAAAAGAAAAAAAATGCAAGAATGGCTGATATGGAATTTTTTTCCTCAAAATACATTATACAAATCAATACATAAAATTATGGATAGTAAGAGCATATTTGATAAGAAGCCTTCAGAAATGCTGAGAAAATGGACTATAAGACTTTCAGGTATATTTCCATTTATTAAAAAATAACTAGAGTAAAATGATCTTCCTTTAGCCTTTAGATTAATTCTGTGTCATTACAGTTATTTGATATATATATATAGATATAGTTATATCATTATAGAATACTTACTGATAAGCACTAATGTTTCTTTTTTGCTTTGCTATAAATTGCCATCAAATTAAGTTCTTGCTTAAATTTATTGAGATTAAAAATGTGTGTATTATATATAATTATATATTTCTAAATGTAGATGCAGCACGTAAACAGGTCCTCATTGTTATGATCAGCAGGTATTAATGTATTAACCAGTATAAAAATAATACTCTAACTTGGCTCAAGTTAAAGAACTGGGCACTTGTATCTACCTCTCTTTTTGCCCAAAAATCCATTAAAAGGACAGAAAACGCATTCTTTAAAAAAGAGCAAATCTAATACAGTGCTTAAAAATAAAAAAAAGAATGCCATTAGCTGACCAGAAATTGTGAAGAATTATTGACAGTTAGAAAGAAAATGGAATTAGATAAACAATAACAGAGAAAATAAAAACCATGGGCAAAACATTCGTGGGAGAAAACTACTATAATGCTAAGAACAAATCTGGCATAATATCAAGCACGTAGTGAACAAAGAAAAGTTAAGGATCTTAAGAACGGTCATTTGGGTAATTAAAGAACTACTTCTGAGTTACGTTTACCAGGCAACACACACATTTAATCTGAGGTCTAAGAATTGTACTGTAAAGAAAGCAAACTACTTGTCTGGACAGGACTTTCATTGTGGATGTAGGGGCCTAAGAAAGCAGTAGGGTTTGAGGTTGCAGGAGGAAGGCGGGGATGGGCAGAGATTAAATGAGATGTAGTTCTATTCAAGAGGGAATATTTTGAAGTCCTCTACCACTAGAGTAAAGTCAACCTTATATCTGTCAGTGGGGAGGAAAGGACACTGGCTACCTGCCCACCAACTTCATGTCCATGTAACCAGTGATTGTTTCACCTACTTAACAAAAAAACTCCAGTCAACCTACCCAGGAAGAGGAAACCCATAGTAATCTAGTTACTAACATTTTCCAGGCATTTTCAGTGTCCTAGGCACTGTTTTAAACACACGTGTGTGTCTATTTAATTCTTACAACAATCTTATGAACTAAGTATATTATTATTATCCACACTTACCAAGTGAGAAAACTGAGGCACAGGAAGATTTAAAAACTGGTCCAAAGTCTCGTAGTTAATAGTAGCAGAACTTGCTATGTGCGTTAATTCAAGCCTAGTTTCTCATTAGAAATATAAATGGACAGCGTAGGATGACCAGACTTTTGAGAGAAAGCAACACCTTAAAAGAGAAGGCTCAAGATGAGTACAAAGACCCAGTGACCATGAAGGGAACAGATAATTTGAAAAAGAGAAAAGCTATCTTTAAAGATTGTAACTAATATCATTTGAGTCAAGAGAATACTATATCCATAAAGCAACAATGGATTGCTTGCTATGAAAAAGGAACAATTAGAAAATTTTAAAAGTATTCTTGGAAATTTAAAAATATAATTGCAAAAGAAATTCAGTCAATGCATAATAAATGGACACAGCTGAATGCTGATTTAGTGTTCTGGAAGAGAGAGTCAAGGAAATCAACTGGAATAGACAGTGAAAAGGCAAAGAGATGGAAGATACAAAAGAAAGATTAAAAGAATCAATTCATTTATAGGTGATCTGGAAGAAAAGAAAAGAGACAATGGAGGGAAGAAATAAAGAAAAATTATAAAATAAAAGTTTCTCAAGCAGAAGAAATGCACACGCTTCCAGATTAAGAGGGCCCATCAGAGCCCCAGCAGGATTAATGTGATAGACTATCAAAAAGACCACATCTTGGTGAAATTTTTTATAAGGAGTAAACCACCTAATATCTTCCAAGGAAGAGAAATAAACAGCTTACCTAAAACAGAGTAAGAATGAGAATGGAATCAGATTTCTTATGAATACTCTCATCAGTACTTAAAGGCCAGAGGCAAAGAACATGACCTTTAAATTTTTGAGGAAACCAATTAGACATTTTTCAGACAAGATTTGATCAGTTTACCACCCACAGACTCTTTCTTGAAAGAATTACTCAAAGATATACTGTAATACAATTTAAAAAAAAAATATTCTGAGACAGAGAAAAATATAACTCAAACCAAACCAAACTCACTACTGTTTAGTCGATTCCAACTCATAGCAACCCTGTAGAACAGAGAAAAACACAGAAAAAGAATTAGTGGGCAAAGAATCCCACCTGTACAGTCTATCAGTATATGAAAATAATTGTTGACACATAATGTGAAAAAATATATATTAATAAACTGGAACAAAATTTCAGCATGGACAAGTATGAGAAGGAATGATGGTTCTTGTCATGTTTGACAAGAAGATTGACTGATGACAAAAAGAAGTTTAAATATGACTTAAAAGTTTTAAAGATAAACACTAGAATAGCATAAATATAATTTCCAAATAACTAGAGGGAGGAAATAAGGAGCCCTGGCGGTGCAATGATTAAAAGCTCTTTTGCTAACCAAAAGGTTGGTGGTTCAAACCCACCCAGCTGCTCCAAGCAAGAAAGACCTGGCAGTATGCCTCCATAAAGATTATAGCCAAGAAAACCCTATGGCACAGTTGTGCTGTCACATGGGGTTGCTGTGAGTCAAAACTGATTCAAAGGCACCTAAGAACAACAGAGGGAGGAAGAAAAGGAGAAATTAAAATTTGATCAGTTTAAAAAAGTGGGGAGAGGAAAAAATCATGG